CTCCCCTTGGCCTGTTTCTAGAGTGGGTCATGGTTGCGTGGAACAGCATCTCCAGTGATTCCATTGTCCAGGGATTCAAAAAGTGCCATGTCTCCAGCAGCATGGATGATGCAGATGTCCTGTGGGAACTAGAGGGTGACTTGTCAGGAGGAGGTGATCCCCCAAGAGAAGGTGAAGCTAACAGCATGACTGAGAGCAACTGAAGCAGAAGTTAAGGTGATACATAAATGAGCAGTGCCTTTCTTAGCTGATATGTTCATATTTTACAAATTTCCATTCCCCTTGTGATCTTCAGTGGGTAGATGGTAGGCTGACATTTTCTACTTTATGGAGGATTGTTTGCTTGATACACATTTTATTTCATGACCCAGGAGGTAACCAAAATGAACAATGAATAAGCCACCAAAACAGAAGTTACATTGAAACAAAGTATACTGGCTAAAAACAGCAGAGTATGTTACTTAGTTAAAACCAAAAGTCTCAATGATGGAATCTTATGTCTGAAAGCCATTTTTTTTTTCTCTCCCTTAGAACCTGAGAAGTTGTGATAAGTTTTATGTTCTTTGATATATTTGTTAAAAGTACCACAAACTTTCATTGGCTTGGGCAATGCGTTGGCAGATAGCCAAAATTCAGTCTGACCTCAGTGAATATGAAATCTATGCTTTGACGACATAATTGAGCTGTTTTGTTTTCACTAGTACTAGGGGTCTTTTACCTATGAACTACTGAAGCCTCACTTGGGAATCCAATTCAGTAATCCTGTATTATGGATTTCCTGTGTACATGGCACTATGCAGGTCCCTCAGGGTTACAGAAAATTTCAATAAAACAGGGTCTTTGCTTCTTGAGAGTTTACTGAATATCTGTAATCCACTTGCTGTTCTCCTAAGGTGTTTTTAAAAATCGTTTTGTTAGTTCAGATTCTTATAAACTAGCCACTGCTCAGATTTTTACAATCTAGCCAATAGCTCATAGGTGCTCAGATTCCTTAAGAGTCTGACCAATATGGCATGTCTTTAATAAACTTTTTCTTTGGCTGAAAAAAAAATCATTTTGTTAATCACCACAATGATGTACTTGAAGAGCAGGCAGTGAATGACAGGGATTTCCTACAGTTGACGGATATATCTGAACAGACAGCAAGAACAAAACAAGTTATGGCCAAGAGCCATGTGAATGAACTTTTTAAGCTCAAAAAAAATTTTTTTTTTTTTTAATGTAAGGTAATTTTCTTAACTAGGGCAACTGTGAGTACAAGTTGAGAATACAAGATTGCAGGTCCTCAAGGATTATTTGAATGAGGAAGAGCAGAGATTCTAATAGACATTGACTAACTTTACAAGAAATAGGGAGCAGGATGCAGTGGGAGGTTGCCCCCCGGAAGGGAGAGTGATTCTTTTTACCTCCTGAGATAGGAGCAGAGAAGAGTTGTACCGATAGAATTACAATCTCATTATATATTATTGTGTACTTGTCCCACCTTAGAACAATTTGAACAGTTCTCTCTCCTAAAAGCATTTTTTGAAGTCAGGGACAATCCCACTTTTCAGTGGGATGAAACAATATTGATACTTTAAATAATGATACTTGGTAAACCTCTTCAAACATTAGGAGTACCTGTCCTTCTTGGTAACTCCAAATTAAATGCAGACACCACCACCCCTGCCGTTTCCCCTCACTTTAAACTATGTGGAACAGTAACCCATTTACCTAAATTAGTCCAGATTTTTTATCAGTGAACCAGTAAAGAGCTGAGTAGAGTTTAGGTTAGGGTAAGTGATCCCTACAACCTTAATGGTTCCAGGGAAGAAAAATATCTGGCTTATCTTAAACTATTCAAAACTCTGTTCTTACATTGTGTGTTCGGGTATGTACCACACTACTGGTCCTATAATTTAAGTCTGCGTTGCCGTCATCCTTGCCCCCTCTTCCTGGTAGAACACTTCCTAGGATTGTCAGACTCTGAACGTTAGCAAGCAGATCTTATTCTTTCCTTTTCCTTTTTGCCTTCTTTTAGTTGCCATTGGTCGTAATTAATTTTCCCGAGATGGATACAGAACATTGCTGCGACCGTCTTTGCCTGCTAGACTTGGTCTCTGTCTGGCAGATGGATAGGATCCATCCTTTCCCAAGGATGATGTGTAGTTGGACATAGCAGAGAATCAGGGTGCATAGCATCTTTGTCAGGTGTGATTCATGAGTTTTCATCTATCTAGACTCCTGTCATTTCTCATCACATCTACCATTCTTTTCTTTTAAGAAAACAATGGAGGGGGAAGGGGGCAAAAAGAGAGATGTTAAGATGTGGAAGAATTTTACCTTTTCTTACAGCACCATTTTGAAGGTCTGACCATGATTTTTTTAAGAAAAAAAAATCATGAAGAACTTTGATCTGCAGTTTCTTTTCTTCTAAAACCAAGGACTGATTTATGCTTGGATTCTCTCTTTATTCCAGCAAGTGGAACTGTGAATGAAAACAACTGAGGAAGAAAATCCTCAGGAAGGTTCCAGGGATGCAGATGCACAGGAAACATCAGGAAAATGCCAAGTTGGTCAGAGAAGCCTGGGTAAGATGAGCCACGGGTGCATCCCCTCCCAAGAACGCAGAGCCCTTCCCCTCAGGAGAGACATTTTCATGAGAGATTGGATGTGGAAAAGAAAAACTGAGCTTCTGTTCTGTCTGTGGCACTGTCTTGAAGATTATTCTGTGTGCCCACCAGAAGCAGTCTGTAAATATCATGGGTGACAAGAGGCATTTCATGGAGAAAAGCCCATTTGTGCATCACCAGAAACATCACATAGGAGACAAGCCCTACCACTGTCCTTTCTGTGGGGAAAACGTCAATATTATTTGTTTTATTCTGCCTTTGAGAATGTTCCCCAAATGCCATCCCACATAAGTCACAAGCTGGGGAGGCAGTTCCGTAGCTGCATGTAGTTATCACTTAGGAGTTATTCTTTATGTTTTCCTCTCTTACTGGAAAAACCAGATACTGTTAATGGCAAGATAAAGAGAGACATCCTGAACTGCTGCCGGCAGATAAAATGCTTCTATAGGCGGTAAACTAGGTTAGGATGGAAGATATAGGATAAAATAGAGTATTCTGTACTTATTTACCCTCTCAAATTAGCAGGCAGCTAGACTTCTTCTAGTCTCCAACATTGACTTGTGGGGTGTTTTCTCCATTATATTTAACGCTAAGGCGGCAATCAATGCAAAGGCTATTCAGGCTGCCAACAGTAGTTCCCATAAATTATCTACTGTATATGGTACAAAGTCCATGTACTTCTCTGTTACTCATTTTGCTAGCTTCTTTATTAAGTCTTATCTTCACGAGGGCAGTAAGGGGACTTGGACCTTTGGCCACTGCCATTCGGGAACTTCAGTGTAACAGCTCCACCTCCGCAGAAAGAGGTTGGGATCATTTTATCTTCACAATTTTTAGAGATTTTTCATTCCCACTTAGTCAAGGGGGGTAAGAAAGCTTCTGTTTAAAGCTGCCTATACCTCACAAGTGTAACAGAAGCTCATGGACGAAGCTACAATTAGAAACGCTAATTTAATACCAAATCAGTGTATCTAAATACCAGTTACTTTTTTCTTGCTGTTTTCTCAGCTCACTTTTCCACTGCTAGTAAACCGCTCTTGCCTTCCTAAAAATCCCTATTTCTGACCAGGGACTCAGGTTCTCTACAGGGACATAATCTTTCGAATGCCTTTTTCTCTTATTTTTCCACCAGGGAAATGGTGGGTCCAATTCAGTCTAACTTCTTTCTGCAGGATAAATGACATTTAACTAAATTTCATTATCTTCCTTTGAACTGCATTTTTGCAGAAGGCTTCTCTCCCCTAGGATATCTCTACATTCCCTCTCTTAACTCTTACTGGAACTGGCTTCCAGTTCCAATTTCTTCCATGTCCCCTCGGATCTTAGCTGGTCTTGTCCCTCACCCCTGTTATGTTACCCTAAATCATCTGTAACTGAGAGGTTATCTTGTACTGGGAGGTTCAAGAATTTTGTGACCTAAACTTCAGGATCATGGGTTAGAGGTTAGGTAATTTTTTCTTTTCCACTGGGAAATCTGGGCAGTGAATTAATCAGCACTTGTTTCATTCTGTGAACAATCCCTTCCATTTCTTCAACAGCATCTTCTGGTGGTGGTTGTTCCAAACCTGTGATTTCCCTGGTGCAGGGAATTGCCTCCAGGGCAGCTCCCTTTGCCAGGGCAGATCTCAGAGTTGCCTAGAGCACGGAGAAGTGACTTGCCCAGGGTCACACAGCCAGCATAGGCCAGCTCTCAACACCACACTGCCTCTCATCAGCAGCTGACAGGGTGCATCATACCATAGAATTCTCCTAGAGTAACAGTTCTAATGTCAGGGTTTTCCGGGGCTCACATGTTCTTCCACTGATTTAATTATGATCTATGCCTCAAAGCCCCAACACTTTTACAGAACTATTACTTATAATGACTGTAGCATATTATTCGTTTTCCTGGACTCAGAATCAGAGATAGCTGAAATAGAAGGTAGGTAGAAATTAACCCCAACAATAAAATTTGATAATAAAAATAAAGGCTGTGGTGGTTTTATTTCACTTTTAAGTTCTGTTGTCCTCTCTTCAGGATATTGCACATCCTATTTCGCTTTATATTTTATTCTTTCCTCAGGTTGTTGGTTCTGGCACAGCCATAAATAACAGTTTAGTTATTTTCTATGGAAGGAGTGACACTATTACCATGTGGTTTTAATGGGATTTTTGGATATAAGGGGAAGAAATAAAATACTTGCGTCAAAATTTAATTTTGCAATCAAAGGACCTTATGAGAACAGCTTTGTACATGTACCTCAAGTCAAATATGAAATATTCATCCCCTAAAAAAGAACAGAATTTCTCAGGATGACAACTGGCTCAATTACTAGCAGAAGCATGTTTACTGTGATGTCAGTAAAGGAACTATCAAAATTTGGTTTTTATAAATGTCAATGAAAAAACTGAGAAATAATCAATGAACCAGTTTAATGACCTATGAAACCCATCTGTGCATGGTCCTCCCATTGACAGAACATAGAAACCTAGAATTAGGCTTCTTCCCATTATCCATCAAGTGTCCAGCCCTACTACAAGCCATACACTACCCTCAGAATGAATTAGAAGCCTCTTAGACAAGGTTTTTAACTCTGCTAACCATCAACAACAGTACTAAAACACTGAAAAAAAATTGTTAACTCTTGTTCAGTCTTAGCTATTCAACTATAGCCATTCAAGGAAAAAAAAAGGTTTAGATAGGTAGATCAGTTAAAAAAACAAACAAACTTCTAAAACCCCAGAAATGGAGTGTTCTCCTATCCCAACTGAAAAGGCTTTTCACAATTGTACTAAAAAGTTCATTTTGAATACAGATTGTCCTGAAACAGCATTTACTATGAACATCACAAAACCTTCTCATATTCGACTTTTAAAGTTCTGCTGAGAAAACAAAAAGCAGTGTTTCATGTCATATTCAGCCCTATGAAGGGCAATATTTGCCATGTAATTATTTTTAAAAGAATTCATTTTTCTTCAAGTCCCAATTTGTAACATCAAAGGATAAAACTACTTTGTCGTAAGAACATTTATAGGTAACGTATGTACACATATACGTGTGTGTGTGTGTATGCATACAGCTGTATTTTAACTGGTCTGCCTACATCACTTCAATTGTTAGCAATGTCAGTCTCCAGGTAGCATCAGAGACATGACCAGATGTTATTCTAACTAAAGCCACATAACTTTAAATCAAGGAGATCCAATTATTAAGCACAGATAATTTTGTGCACGTGTGACAAAATGGTGGTCCTAAGGACTTGGCAGGAAGACTAGCTCTATGGAGAAATGTTAATTATGGAAGTAATTTTGTGTTTATTATTGCATTCCTGAAGAGTAGATTTTTTTTAATGCAAAGAAAAGGCATGTAGCCATCTGCAGCAATACTAAGTTATGGTTCTATGGAGCTGAAATAACTGGGTAATTAAGAGACCATTTACATCATTTAAATGTAACATTGAAGTGGTTTTTTTGACTTCTGAAAGTGCCTACGTTGTCTCTGCTGGAATGTGGATCGACAGACAGCCCTTCACTCAACACCTGGATCTTTCTTCTGATCATGGAAAAGAGGGTACATAAAAGCTCTTCAAAGACAATTACTCACGCAAACCAGGCAAAATAGCTGCAGGCCCCAAGGCTACACTCCAGCTAGTCCTTGGTACTAAATTTCTCACAAGTGAATCAGCTTTGAATCCCTATAGCAGAAACAGCATCTGCTTTGGGCAAGGGGATTAAGAGTGGGGGATGCTATTAAGAAGAGATGGATCATTAACAAAGGTCAAGTTTATGCTATGGCTTCATAGTAGCACATAAATACATTAACACAAGTCATTTCCATAGGAAGTGGTTATGCATTGCACATTTCAGCCTTGAAATGTAAACACAAAAAAATTCAGTTCTCAGACATCCACTTGCTAAGAGTTCAACGCCCTCGGACCTCAGCGGTTACATCAGCAGAGCAGCAGCCCCTCCCTAGTTGCCAAACGTTGCCGATGAATTTTGTCCTGTTGAAGCTCTTCGTGATTTGGATGCCAGAGTTTCATGATGATCCTTTCAATGTTCAGTGCATATACTGTATGTGTAGGAATCACTTCTCTGTGCACCTATAATGGAAATGTAAAATACTCCTAAATATTTGTTGGCACGATATTCTCTCTACGTTAAAGACAAAACAAGGGACTCATAAATGCTATGCAAATTAATACAGACTCAAACCAGAACCAGGAATAAACAGACCATCAGTGTTATCATTCATAATTTTTAAATCTGAAAACTTGATAAACATAACTTATTTCTATAGCTATATCAAAGAATCTTGGCACTGCAACAGCTTCTGGGCAGAATTTCTTCTATAACACACCTGACATCTACCTGGTCAATGTGGAAGAGGTTATGAAAAAGGCTTTCTTCAAGCTTACAGAATTCTTAAATCTATAAATACTTATATCTCTAGTAGTATTAATATTAAGCGAGCACCGGCTTACCTGCAGCGCTTCAAAGAGGTCATACATGTTTACAGGAGGCAACGAAGCTGGCAAAGTATCCCCTGAGCAAGCTAACAGGAGAGCCGCCTGCTGCTCTGCATCATCAGGAGGCGGGTGGGAAGCTGGATTCTGACCCGCAGAAGGAACTGAGTATGCTGGAGGGCTGAAAGCAAAAACAAGGCATTCCTCAACAGAGATGCAGCCGCTTGAGCATTCAAATAGGATACAAGTTTGCTTTTTAAACATTATTCTTCACTTTACAAGCACAACCAACCTCCTTTCTATTTAATTTCTGTGAACTTTAATAGGCTCGATTGATAGATGTTTTTAAGCAACTGCCTCTCAGGCTGGAAAAGCTCTTCAGTGCAGCTGTTTTTAGGTCAGTGCAAAAGTGTCTTTTTCTGATCCAAGTTGGTTTTCTCTGTTTCCATCTGTTAACTTCGTCAGGAATAACACAAAAATATTGTGTGCAGCTCTATTAAATTACTGACGCCTGACATGTAAGAGCCCTACCTATCATAAAGACTCTCTTTAGTACAGTCACTTGAGCAAATGGAACTGTGTGCGCTTGTTATACTTTATTCTTCATTTTAAAAGGATCTTTAACATACTCTGGAGAGCCAACTTCCCTATTTAATTCGTGTGCACTTGAAGAGGCCATAGATAAGACCTAGATAGTTCTATTTTGAAGCAGCTGCCTGCCAGACTCAGGAGGCTCTCCATGCACTGTTTTTAGGCCATTGCAATAGTTCTTATGCTCCCTCAAATTAGATTTGTCCACTAGGCTCTGTTAACTTTTTCAATGTTTTACATAGCTCTCTATTAGATAACAGATGCTTGTAAAGTATGAACCCTACCTATTCTATTTAACCCTATTTGGTACAGTAGTTGGAATAGAATTGCACCTTTAACTTGTACTTTAAATCAGTATTCATTGGGGTCCTAGTAAGGACAAGATATTGAGCTGAGCAACATAAAGCAATATAAAATTCAGTCCTCACCTTTCTATTAGCTTGTAATCCAGATTAAAGAAATAGAATAAATAGGAGTTGAAAATGAGATGTATCGAAGATATCAAAAATAGTTGGCTGTACAACTGCAGAAAATACTTCAGGACTTTCTGTGATTAGAAATAAAGGCCAAGAAAAACAGATTCATCATGGCCCTTGGGTACTGTGCAAAAGAGAGACTAAGGGACTGTAAATACCCATTATACTTAACACAGGCATAATTTTTGCATTCTGCATATAGTAGAGATCATTCTAATTATATTCAAAGGGGCAAACAAGAAATATAATTGAGACTGGGAAGTTTGAGTCCCTCTTCAGAGTAAAACAATTCTAACACAGGTCAGTTCAACAATCACTAAATGGCCCTATCATTCTGACAAGCAGCTCAAAGTAAAGCCGCAGCAGGGAATGGTTGGGGAAAAGGAGGGGGACGCTGCCCTCTCCAGGGCCACTGCTCTCATATGCAAGTTGGGGAGTAGTGCTTTTTCTGCAGAGGAAAAATAATAGCTTAGAAATTAATCAGAAATTTTTTAAAAGGCTAAACTAAGATGGACACTACTTGCTGCCAGATGAGGATCAAAACAGTAATCTTAAGAACTGAGATTCAGAAGAAACTACAATATTTAAAAGAATCTAAAGTTTTTGCTGTCTCCAGCATGGTGCCTCTAAACAGGTATTGGTTAGACACATCCTTTCAACTCTATCATCTCTATCACACTCTCCTGCACTCATCTTTTTCATAACCTTATTCCCTGCTTTGTCTTATTATTTCATTTCTGCTGCCAGCATCTCCTGGCAGACCTCCCTATTAGCATCTTTCTTTTCATCCACCCATTTTTAACTCCCCTCAATTTGAACACTACAGAGAAAAAAGATCAGTGCTCAGGTAGAAACCCAGCTTCTTCTGAAACTGGTTAAAAAAAAAAAAGGACAAAAATATTACAATTTCTTTTTTCCAACAGTTGAGAATATGTATCATTTTTATTTTGGGGGGGGAAGAGGGTATGCGGAGACAGTAGTTGGACTGAGATATAAAAAAGAAAACCCTCAATGGGTGCCACAAAAAAAATGTATCTAAAGGAACAGATGCATAAGTACAATTATTTTGATAAAGCAGTTTGAAGGCAATAGACCCAAGCCAGTAACAAATGCAAAGGACAGGAATACAAAGTAAAAAGTAGGGATTTCCCTATCACTCTTGTCCCGGAAACCAAACCAATCTTACAGGGTCAGATGCTGAAATTTCTGCCAGCTTGGAAGTAACTGACCCGGACATCCAACAAGGTATGAATTCTAAGAAAGACCCTCCATTCCACTCCAAATACTTTGGAGAGGAAGGGTATAGAGTGGATGCACACCACAGGTACCATATCACTGCAGTAGTCAAACTCCGTAACATCACACCAAATATAAGAATTCTGAATTATGCTACTGAATGAAACAAAAGGATGAAAAAGAAACACAGATTAAGTGAGAGTTGTCCAAAGCACTCAAGCTGGACAGGATAATTAAATAATCATTTATCTTTTAAGAGCTAGTCATTTATCTCTTAGTCACTTAATAATGAGAGACCTTAATAATGGGCAATCATCATCCAAAATTCCACTTACCATTCAATTAAGTTATTGTATGCTACAACGCTATTCTTTAGGTAAGGCTGTGGATTCACATTGCTACCAAATGCATATTTAAAATGACCATCTCTTAAACGGTAAGCTTTTCTTCTTGATACCACTGATGTCAGAATATCTTTGAGGTGATTCTATAAAGAAAAAAAAACACATGTAACTTCTAATTCTCTTCAAAAGGAAATCATAAAACTTTCACTGACCTCTTAACTGCTATTAGAATTTATTAGATGGGAAGTACAGGACAGACTAATTCAAGTTGGGAATAATGTGAAAATTCATGGGACCAGTCACAGGGGCAACAATGAAAGCAATTGGAGAGTGTAGGGGAAAAGGAAGAATGAAAATCTTTTGTTTTTCCTTTAGCCTATTCTAAGGTTGGCTTACTCTATACAAAATCTGATTTTCAAAGAACTACAATAAAACAATAGCAACAACCTTAAAAATTTAATTTTATCCTTTCTCCCAAATCTAAGTCCACATAGGGTGAGCCAACCTTATTACAGGACTAAATACACTAAAAACCCAGAAATGAATCTGGCCTAAAACTTTTCTTTATACATATATATATTTTTTCTTTTCATGTGTAAGTATGGTTAGTTCAAACAACAAGACTTCTAAATCAGGACTAATTCCACAGTATGGAAAAACCTTTAGCAAAATACCACTGAACTTTATCTATATTTTAACACAAATGAGAGGCAACAGAAAATGAGCAACAGATAAAGTCCCAATGAAAATTAAATCCCATTTCCTCACTAGCAATAAGAAAATATTTTCAAAGCAAAGCTTCATTTCAGAACCTGACCAGTCATACCCCTCAAATGGTAATTCAGTCGCACTATGACACTTACAAAACCAAACTTAAATGTACTGTTTTACAATCCTTTTTATGAGGGTGACCTATTATTGCTAGGAGATGGTAACTAAAAGAGGGGTTAATGAAATCCTCAAAATCTATTTGAAGTTTACAATTATGGCCACATTTACCATGTAATTTCTATTAAAGAATGAAAGGTATACCAGAAAGATCTAGAGATAAACGTAGGTAAAAACTGACTAATCAAATCAGGACATTCAATAAAGGTGCAACACATCTACTGTGTGCAAGGCACTCAACAATGTGACCAGGTCAAAAAAGATGGGCTAACCAGTCCTCTGCACCACCACCTACAGATCTGTGTAGCCCTTTAACCACTTGCATTTTCACAAAATCCTCCCATTTGATCTTACAACAACCCTGCAAATCTTCTTATCTCCATATCAAAGCCTGAAAATGGAGGTTCAGGAAGATTAAAGGATTTTGCCCAAGGGCAAAGAGTTCAAAAAGCAGAGGAGCTGAGACCAGAATAGGGATCTTCTAATTCCTAATTCTGTACTTTTCCACTGATGGCCATTCTCAAACATACTAAATGTTAAGATTCCTGATTCAAAATTAGGAATTAATCAAGAATAAATGCTTCTCTTGAAAGCAATCCTTCTAAAAATGTACAGGAATCTTTTAAACATTATCATTAAGCATAAAGATAATATGTTCTTGACCCATGATATGGTAATAAGAAGGATTTTAATTCTTAGAAATCAGAAATTAGGGAGGCAGTTTTATGTCTTACTCTGCAATATCATCTTATCCTACAAACACTCTTCATATTAAAATATCGGATACATTATCTTATGACAACCACTAACCTCCACTGCATACACAACGGCAGTCACTGCCTCTTCAGTGACATTGTCCAGCCCATGCTCATACGCAGTTACTATCATTCTCCCTTCCAGCTGGCCCCGAGTAGGAAGCATCATAGTATGAGAACAAAGTTTCAAATCATCATCATCTTGTGGATCCTTTGCCACAAACTGCTGAGCTCCTGACAGAGGATTCTGAGGCTGGAATCTATGCTGTGGGGTAAGAACAGATGTTATTACTCATAACAGTGATTACGGCAATTAGAACAAAGCACAAAGAGAAAGGACCAACATAAGTTCCATCGGTAGTTTAAATGAACTCAAGTGTCCCAATGTACCAATTATAGCTATATATGTCCAAAGGAAAACTAAAAGAATAATACATGCAGAATCCATCACTTCATAGCAATATTGAAGGCATGAATTCACTTGCTCATTCTAGCTTAAAAATAAACATAGCACTTCATAAAACATATATGAAATTTTAAAAAACTAATGGGCTTGCATTGTAGGAGGTTCTAGCAACTCAAATTCAATTATTATTTGGTGCCTATAGCAGGCAAGGCCTTCCACTAGAAAATAATTATAGGTAGCAAGAAGATATGAGACGTACATTAAAGGGTTCTGAACTGAAATGACAAGAATATTTTTCCTAGATTAAGCCTGTATGTCTGAAAACTAAGTAACTAAATTTCAAGAACATATATGCATTATCAGTGCTTTCATTAAATACCAAAAATGCCTGGATAACCAATGAAACAGACTTGGTGACAAATGCTGAAGAAACATGAAGGCACTATTCGAATCTGGGGTTCTTAATCTTTTATATCTGTCACGACCCTTTTGGTGGTATGGCGAAGCTTTCTCAAGATAATGTCCTTAAATGCATAAATGCATAGGAATAAAAAGGAAACTAATTCTATTTAATATAATTTCAACATATGCCAATATATTCAAATAAAGTTCAGAGACTCCAGGATAAGAACTCCTGATTTAAAAGATAGAAGAATGGGTATGTAAACATTTGTTGATGATGACAACCTATGGGACTATTAAGAAACAGTCAAATCAATTCAACCAACATTTAGTAAGTACATAATAAAAGCAAAGCACTGGGGACACGGATAAAAATGACAGGGTCTTCAAGAAGCTTACATTCTGTTGGGAAGGGCATAAAGCAGGTATGTAAATAAGTAAACTACAAAGAAATTGAGGAAGAAGAGAATGCCAACTAGGTGAAGGGGAGAGAGTAGATGGGGAAGACCAAGGAAGACTTCATAGAGTAGGAACACTTTAGTTTAGTGCTAATGAGGATTCTGAAATGTAGACATAAGGGATGTATTCAAGGCATGAAAAATGACTTGTGTGAAAGCATGAAAAAGGAAAGTCAAATTCAGGGAACAGAATTAGTCCAGTGTGGCTGAAATATAGGATACATGAAGAGAGGTAATATTTAACTCTGAATAGCTAGGATGAAGCCAGATTAGAGAAAACTTCAAATGGCAGACTTTCTTTAAATGTTCAAATGGCAGAGTCTGTGTTTATTCTAGGGGCATGAGAAAATGACTTAAGACTGAAATCTATGGAAGAAACAAATAGTTACAGAACACTTTTTACCCTAAAGAAGTTAATTACAAATGCATATTATTCCTAAGATATTCACAATGGTACATGGGACAGAAGACACCCTTGAAACATATGTTAAATAGATACAGAATATACTGAAGTACTAAAACAAAATACAGGCACAAAGACCACATGAGTGCTAAGACTGAACCTAGAACACTACAGCAAAGTGCAGGGGAAAGACAAAAATTTTAATAGTCTAGAAATGTGGTTTCTATCCCACATCACTCACTAACTAGCTATGCAACACTAGGCAAGTCAAGGCTTATTTCCTCACTGAAAGGAAGGGGACTGTTGGCCTAGGTCCTTATGGTCCCTTTGCCTATAATGATGTATGACTTGGCCCATGTGCAGAAATTAATGTTTAAGAGGAAGCAGAGAAAACAGGCTTTGCTTTTGGCTGACTAAATATTCATAAACATAATGATTATGATAAACTGGGATGCAAATAATAAGGAAAGAATTGTAAACACACATGATGTAGGGTAAACAAGGACTTATAAAACCAATGACCACTATGAAGCAAAGCAGTATGTCCCTTTCTCTAAAAGTCAATGTTTCATACAACTCATTTTTTTGAAAACACACTTCACTATTTAAAAAAATTAAATGAAATTACTTAAATCACAATGTTAGCAATTACAACCAAGCTGATTCAGAAAATAACTTACATCAAATTTCTGTCGGACTGAAGAAAGTTTTTTCTTTCCTTTGGGCTTTCCAGGTTTAGCTGCAGAACCTCCTGTCCAGGGTAAAGACCCAGCACCCTCTAAAAGGTAAGAAAACAACATGGATTCATAAACAACGATAAAGATACTAACAGCAATCAAATACACTTTTCTTAGAAAATATAAGACATGTAAGAAAAAGGATTCTATATGTTTAGATTCTAATTCTCTCTCCAAATCACTTAATTTCCAGGACCTCAGTTTCTGGACCTGTAATTTCAGCGGTAAAGGGAAATAAGTCCCAGGTGAGGAAAACTGCTCTACCAATCCATATTGGCACCTACTCCGCAACTGGTAATCTAAGAAAGCTACCCAGAGCTGGGGTTGGCAAACTCAAGCCAAGTCTGGCCAACAAAACTGTCCTCGACCTGTCTTTACACAACCAAGGAGTAAAGAATGATTTTTACCTTTTAAAAATTTTTTTTATCTTTTAAAATTTTTATTTTAAAATTTTAAAACCATTCTTAGTTTGAGCTGTATAAAAATAGACAGAGGACTGGATTTGGTCCCCTGGCCTAAAGCACTGAGGGTTAAATGACTTGCCAACAATCACACAGCCTGGCTGTATTAGAGGTATAACCTGAACTCAAGTCTTCCTAGTTTTGAGGAGAGCTCTCCATCCAGTAGGCCAGCTTGCTCTATGTAAGATGGTTTTAATGATTCACCATTTTACAACAAGTAAAAAAACAAACAAACAAACAAAAAAGCTCTACATAATTTTGGAAGAACTACTGCCTCAGAGATTTATGGGTTGCAAAGACAAAGTTCCAGAAGCTAATCCTATCCTCTTTTTGTGAGGAGGTACAAGGAAAAAATGGCTAAAAAATGAAGATGTCAATGGAGAAAGGTGGGATGAAACCTCAATCTCCACAGGATGAAGCATTGGGCTTTTGACATGCCAGTTCTCAATTATTTGATTTACTGATAAAAAGACAAAAGGATACAAACAGCCTTACAATGTAGGCAATAGAAGAATCTGCCACTTTCACCTGAAGTAATCTAGAACCACTGCTCAGCATTTCTCCACCCAGATTCTTTAGGTTCAAAGGGGAAAATTAACCTCCCAGGTCTTTCTCCATTGCTGTTTGTCTTCACCAAAATTCCTTAGCAGCTGGCAGAGGACTGCTTTTCTGTCTTTGTATCCTCATTGCTGAGCATTCACTGAATGTTTGTTGACCAACTGAATGCAGTCTGTACCTGACAGCTCTGAACAACACTCCAGATGAGGATACTTTTATTAAACCAAGATATCGAGTAAAAACCCAACCTCCTGGAAAGTCTTGGGTTCTCCTAGACCACTACTATTTTATTTTCCACTTTACCTGTGCCTGCCCTAGAGCTGCTCCAAACATCCATCTCCTTCACTCATTCTTTACCTTTCTGAAACCCTTGCAACAGAGCATGATGTTACCCCTGGCTAACTCTCCTTATACTACCTTCTCCACTAACTGCTTCACTTTCGAAATATCTACCTAAATAAACTAATGTCCAGCAAATAAAGGAGTAAGAAACTAAATAGAAAAAAGGGGGGGGCAGCTAGGTGGCGTAGTGGACAGAGCACCAGCCCTGGATTCAGGAGGACCTGAGTTCAAATCCGGCCTCAGGCACAAAACACTTACTAGCTGTGTGACCCTGGGCAAGTCACTTAACCCCATTGCCTAGCCAAAAAAAAAAAAAAAAGGTGGGGGAGCGGGGGAAAGAATTAGATTTAAGAAAAGTAATCTAACAGAATTTGTACTTAGCATTTTTCTTCTTGGGTGTCAAAGGACGCAGGAACATTAAACAAGAAACAGCAAGGTCTATGAAAGGATGACAAGGGAGTAATAATTTTCCTAGATTGTGTGTGCTAAATGACTGCCACTCACCACTACCCACCCATCTCCAAAAAAAGTCCCGCTTACCTGGTGCAGAAACCAAAATCTGACAACGAGTGAGAATAGCCAAGAGGAAATCATTGTGGGAATGTACTAGAAAAGTAAAGTTTGCCACAAATTAAATACGACACTACTACCAATACAAAAGCATTTACAACAATATAAGGCAACTACTAGGTAAGCCTAGAATGTATTCTAGTATGTATGTATTCTGTATGTATCACAATTCTCGTTTCTTTGCTCAATGTACGTTTTGAAAGTATACATACACGCAAACTAAAATTCTATGCAGTGACATTAAACGGACTTTGGCCTATTGTACTTTTTTGTCTGGGGATGGGAAGGCCAACAAAAACAACTTCCCAATAATTAGAAGACTGTTGTTTTTTTGTTGTTGTTTTTTTTTTTTTACCATTTTCCTGTGTGAGGAGCCGATGAGCTTCCAAGTCAAATTCTTCTTTGCTGATTTTCTGCTTGAACCACAATTTCAGGTTAGCCCAGTATCTGCATGGAGGGGATGGAGACAAGAACTGAAGGTTTTGATTCTTGTCAAGATTTAATGTTTTGCCTGCCCTCGAAAGTATTATCTTATGATTACCAAGGAAAAGAACTTAAGACTTAACTCAAAACAACAAGAAGAAGACTTTTATCAAATGTTAAGCCTTGACATATTACGGAAATGAGTAAAAAATAAAAGCAAAAGTGAAGACAGAATTTAGTTCTCAAAAAGCCAGAGCCATCCTATTCCTCTCTTACATCTTTCTAATGCTTTATATTCCACATTTAATATTTATATCCAAATGTGATGATTAAACCAAATGAAATCAGTCAGGCATTTAGCTGAATAGCTTAAATGCTGCATTTTAAAACACCACAAAGGAATCAGTTCTGAATTTCTGAGGAGTTGCAGGTAAAAGTTATTTTAAAGAATGAAAAAAGTCAGCTCCTAGAAGTGAAAAGAAGTAAATTTACAGACTTTTATTAGAAGTAGCAGCATCTGTTTAACTTTGTGACAGGAAAGAATTTTTCTATTAATGTCCATTGAGCTGTAAACTTAGGTAGTTGTTACTCCTTATGTTCAGGCTAAGATTCCTTCGAAAGGCAATTTATGGCCGAGCTTAAATGGATCCTTACTCAATTTTCTAGTATCTATATCAACTTCTGAAAGTTCTGTGTGAAGATTTGTAATAAGACAATCTGGTGGACTTGGATTGTCTTGCAGCCTAAGAAAAGAATCACTCAAACTTGGTTTCCGTCCAGACTGGGCTACCCTGCCACTGTGACCCCAATTTGAATGTGTCTCTTTCTCTAAAAATGTTGTTATTCTTCAAGGATCAGCTCGATGAGGCCTTCTCTGATTGCTTCAGTCGTTAATGCTTTTTCTAGTCTCATCTTAAATTGTGTTTACTTATTAAGGGCCATATTTCAGTAGAAAAAAACAATACATTTGGTAAAAGGAGAACACGGGTTCAAATCCTAGTCTTGCTGACTTTGAGCAGATCACTTTCTGGGCCCAAGTTTCCTTATCTGTAAAATGACAGGGTTAAACCAGCATCAAAAATCTTAACTTGGAGTCCATGGATAGATTTTGGGGGTCCATGAATTTGGATGGTAAAAAATAATCTTTATTCTAATATAATTGGTTTCCTTTGTAATCCCACATACTTCACTTTATGCACTGAAAAGTAATATTCACTGGCTTCACCCGACTGCCAAAGGCATCTCTGACACAAAAAAAGGTTAAGAACCCCTGGACTAGATGATCTACCTATAAATCTATGATTTCTCTACATTAGTAATGTCAAATTGAAATAAAAGTGTGAGCATACATAAGGATCTCTATGAGTACATATTGACTTAGAAAACCATGTGTTAGTTAACATTTTCTATGTTTTATTATATTTTTATTTATTTTGTTAAACATTTCCTAATTACATTTTAATCTGGGTCACTACAGGTCTTTCTGACACGTCTCATATACATGTTCAACCTCAAATCTACTCTCGTTCTCTGGGTACATACTACATAAGCTCCTTAAAGGCAGAAATAGCTAAATTTTTTATCTTTTTCTCTCCAGTCCTAGCATGAATACAGTGGTACTTTTAATAAATGTTGAATTGAATTTGCATTTTAGGACCATTTACCACTTTTTACCTGCTATTCATTAACTGATGGAAATATAAACATCAACAAGAGAAGCTTATACAAGTTTTTTAAAAGATGGGAAAACTATGAAATAACTAAAATTTCATTAAAACAAAACAAAACAAAACCAAAGGTGCAGTATGACAATTATCCCCACTCCCATCCTCACCAAACAATAAAAAGCGAGTTAAGACCATAGAAAACAATTCCTAGTGGACTGAAAAGGTAGCCTCAATTTTCTAAGAAAGACTGCCATATAGCTCTGACAACAGACTACCTATTCATTTTCTCATACTCCAAAATGGCATTATTTGTACCTAAAAGAGATCAAATTGACTAGTTGCTTGGTTGGTTTATTTATTCATTTTTTTTGGCGTTCAGCTATGCTGGGTTACAAACTATCCACAATGGATCCAGAACAACATTTTTAGACACTAATATAAAGAATTACACAAATTTAGAGTGAAAAAAGCCCTTAGAGATGGTCCAGTCCCCACATCCTCTTTATACAGATGAGAAAACCAACGCCCAGACAAAGCCAGTTGCTTAACTGGGATAGTGAGTGAACTGGGACTAGTCTCAACTCCCAATCTAGTATTCCTTTCTGAAACAATACATGGCCTCATTTGTAATGAAAAAGTGAAAGAAGACCAATGCAGTAAGGATATAGATATTAAGGTTAACATAAAGAGGGTGGGGCAGATTACACTCCTAATTAGGAGCCAAGCTAACTGAGGAAACCAATCAGAAAAACTTTAAAAGCAGCCTGCCTCAAAAGCTTAGATGAGACAAGGTCAGAAAAAGGCCTAAGCAAGAGAGAAAGAACTCTAGCAAGAGAAACGGGTTCCACCATAAAGGGTTCAGGTATTTTTTTCATTCCTCTCAGACCAAAGATAACATCCAGAGTCTTAAATATACTATGATCTAAGATGTTCAAAGGTTTTTAAACCAATAAGAACATCTGGAGAAATTAGGTATAATCTATCATCTATCCCAACCTGGAATATTCAAAGGTGGGGGGGGTACAGAAAAGCAAACACTAGGAATATTTAAGTAACTGTATTATCCTACTGAAATCAATCTCTTTATTTTACTTCTTATGAGTATATGAATGATAATTTCTAGAATTTGTCTTTCATACTGAAGACAGGGTTAGGTGAGATTTTTAAATGCATATACATGGAAAACTCTAGAATTTATTTCTTTTAATATGGAATATAGAGTATGAAAACCAAGAGGTACAGGAACTAGGAAAGTTTCAGAACACCTCACTTGTCATTTCAGTTCAGTCCCTACTATGAAGAGAAAGAAGAGCCTCTGAATTTAGAACTACTAATAAAGTTAAGGGCTTTTTGGAAAACCAAGTCCTCTATGGGGTAAGGAAGTCTTGGTTCTTTGACAAATGGCAACTGCCAAACATTTAATGACTTAAGTTTGTGCTTTGACATTGAGTCTTTTTAAATTTTTATTCTAATAGCAAAAATGATACTGTGGCTGTACTTCAGTAGTTGCATTACAGGTAAATCAGGTAAATAAATGCTGCGCTGGTCCCACCTTTTATCATGTATATCACTACAGTATATCACATGTCTATTGTTGCTGCTGCTGCTGTTGTTGAGTTGTGTCCAAATCTTCATGAGCGCATGGACTATACTGTCCATGGGGTTTTCTTGGCAAAGATACCGGAGTGGTTTGCTATTGCCTTCGCCAGTGGATTGAAGCAAACAGGTCAAGTGACTTGCCCAGGTTCACGTAGCTAGTAAGAGTCTAAGGCCAGATTTGAACTTAGATCTTCCTGGCTCCAGGCCCAGAGCTCTATCCACTGAGCCATCGAGCTGCTCCATGACATGTATGTAGGTAAGTATAATACAAGATGAATAGGTGCAAAGAAGGCATTGAAAGAATTTTGGAAAATTTTGATGGGGAAAGAGGAGTATAAGGGAAGAAAAGAGATGGCAGATGACTTGAGAAGGGAGAGAATTTTTAAACAGGCCAAGATGAGGAGGGAACATGACATGAAAAAATGTTTATGCAAATGCACTAAACAAAAGGTCAAAGAGATTTTATCACAACTCTCCCTCTTGAAGATCCCACTCACATAATTTCAAGTAATAACTTTATGTAGATGACTCCTACATCTGTACCATAGAATCACAGACTTAAGAGCTGAAATTGCTTTAGAAGTCACCTCTTTAAATCCCCTCATTTCACAGAGGCCCAGAGAGCTTAAGCAATATGCCCAAGATCAAATTGGTAATTAAGTGGCAGAGCTTGCAGAATGGCAGGACTTGAAGCCAGGTCTTCTGACATTTAAAGTCTTTCCATTGTACACTGCCTAACAGTCTTGGACTCATGAGTTACAAACAAATTTACTGTATTTCTGTATCTGCCTGGATCACTAATAGGTACCTCAAATTCAATGCATCCACAACCAAACCCATCATCGTTGCTGCTCCTGAATTCCCTTTCTTTTGATTTACCACAATTTTCCCCAGTCACCCATAAAATGCTGATTCCTCTTTCTTTCTCACACCACCCCCATTTAATCCTGAATATTATCCTTGTGATCTTTCCCAAATGTGCACGTTCCTTTCCATTCCCAGTGCCACAGTCCTTGTTTCAGGCCTCATTACCTATTGTATGAGCTACTTACTGCAACTGCCTTCTAACTAGTCTCTCCCCACTGAAATCCATCCTACTCTCAACTGCCATTATTCTAATATGCAGTTATAATCATATCAATCCTCTGCACAATCCTCCCCCTCTCCTCAAAGAATACAAACTACAGAGAGCCTGGCATTCAAGGTTACCTTATGCTCTCTTCTTTCATGTAATCCATACTCTACCCCAACTGGATTACACCACAGACAGCCCTAAGCTAGGGAAACTGAGGCTTTCCTACATTAGAGAGTTCACCTCATTCCCTACTCCTAGAATGCACTCTCCCAATCTATTGTGGAAATCCCACACATTTTTTAAGGAACAGCCCAAATACCACCTCCTTCATGAAGCTCTCCTTGATCCATCCAACCTTGAGAGACAGTACTCAGCTAGAAGTGATCTTTCCCCTTACTCTCAATGGGAACGTGTTAAAGAGAGAACAACATGTATATGAAGAAGGGTACAAAAGTCTTCTAAATTCAGAAAGAAATAAGAGGGCAATGGGATAGGGTGGGAGGAGAAGATAAGAAAGGGACTCGTACAGGGGTGGGTAGGTTAAGGAATAGGAGGACAAGATAGTCAGTAAAAGTAAAGCAGAGGATTCTGTGAAGAGGGATAGGGTAAATAGGGAAAGAAGGATTAGGGAAGAAAAATAGGAAGAAAATAGACAAGTAATTGTAGCTTAGAATGTGAATGGA